TATGAAAACGGGATTTAATGGAATTTCTGAAAGAGCTTTATATAACAGTATGGCTACTGCAGGGAGAACTGAAAATCATTTATATAAAATTTTTTAGTGTGAGCTTAAATGTTCCACAGAAGAGTTGTTGGCCACAAAATACCTTTAAAGTGAGACATTATAAGTTCAATTTTCTGGAGCGGTTACATTGGCAGACATCTCGTCAGAAAAGGCCATTAATTTCTAAAAATGAATGATAATTAGGAGTTTGCAATAATCTTATAACATTACTGATGAGGTTTTCTTTGATTGTTAATGGCTAGCATGATTTAAACTTTTGGTTATTGGGTCATATTTACTGTTATGCACCTTTCAGTTAAATGTAAACTTGAAAATTGTTATTTTTGCAATAAATTAATTGCTGTAGCCAATTGAATACCTAAAGATCTCATTTTCAAAGTCTGTTCATTCTCTAGAACTTTTCTGTGCACAAGTTATATCAATACTTCATAGTTTTTGCATATACGCAGCAGTCTATAAATTTTTCACTAAGTTCATTGATATTCTGGTGTATGACAATTTCAAAGATTTTGTAAGCAGAGACAGTTGAGTACATGAATACTGAATCGATTATACTCTTGAAGGCAGAGTTCAGCCTTATGTATCAAACCGTCAGTATAAACATTCAGATGATAAAAACTAATTTACCATGGATGTTTCCGTATAACCTTAACTAACACTTTTTTATACCAAGAACTTATGTTCCTGATTCTACGCTGATGAGGTTCTCCATTCAAGATCATATTGTTCCATTTAAACGAGTACGCAATAAGAATTATTTTTTAAGTCGAAATAAGCGTCACCTATTACCAGAATCGATCACTGTAAGACTGTATAGCAGCATCGGTTAGGACTGTAGAGATCTGAGTTCGGGTTTGATAGCCCAGTCACCACTGTGGCAGCTAGAGGCTGATGATTCTGGTGGTGAAAAATGTGTGGCATACTCGCCGTTGAACAAGCAAACATGCTGTTTTTGTCCATGTGACTGCCCAGAATACAACAATTCCACAGTTTTCTGTATTTTATTGTTATTTTTTATTGATATTAGAAATGAAAATGAAAAAACGTGGAAATATTTCCATAATCTATCCAAAGAACGTACGGAGTAATAAATCATCTGACCGGTACGTTCCTCGTTCCTATTGGTCCGTTTTCGGTAGATAAGCCGCCACAATAGCACTTCCGAAGAAGAATTTCCGACGGTCTGTGGCGTACGATTGAATTTTTTTTTGTGTGCCTCATTCATTTTTGTGAGACAACCTTTAAAATGATATTTCGACATGACTGCCTTATTAGACGAGTGCCAATTACCAAGAAAACGGGCAAAAAGAGCTTTGTCGGTTTCTGAAACTATTATAAATATTTATATACCTTCTCGGGAGCGCTATCCAACCGAAACTCATATATAATGTGTAGCCTTTGTTTCAAGAGCATCAGGTGAGGATTTAGCTTTGAACTATAGTTTAAAATGTTTTGTAGTTTGATGTATTATTCTAAATAATTATCTTCTGTTAAATATTTTACCCACTAATATGATAGCTACATCTATTGCTCATATATTGATTGATTGATTTATTAATGCATGAATGTATAATATATGCAACATGTATTAGTTTGGTTTCAGGAGCATCAATTAGTACTGTATATAAAATTTTGCCAGAGCACAGAAGGATCAACATTATTTTTCCTACCAAAGGTTACCATAGAGCCAGAGTAGTTTTGGACAACGTTTCATAAGAAACTAAGGCAATAATCCGAAGAAAAGTCCACGAATTTTTCTTCAGAAACGAACCACTAACACTGGACAAAATTTTGTTATCATTAAACGACGACGACGACGACTTACCAGACTTCAAAACATCGACGTTTTTTTCTTATCAAACACAAATAATAAAAATGTAGTAGGGTGTTATAGGTTTAAAATATTAACAATGAATATTTTGATAATATATAGTAGAAAACACCAACTTCATCACTCCCTAATCAAATTTGCAGCATAAAAATAACACATGCTGCAATTACAGCATATCAACATAATAAAAAAATAAAGCGCATAGGTGGCTGCGAAAAATAAAAGCCATGACAATTGTTTTTATTAATCACAGCTGTCAGAATATGTTTAAAATAGTTTTGGGTAGTTAAGGTTTTCAAAATGGGTAGAGGAAAGGTTATTAGTGGGAAACTTCGGTTACTGATAATTAAATTTTTTAATTCTGGGAAATCAAACTCGGAAATTGCAACTTTGTTAGACTTATCGCGGTACAGTGTGAGAAATATTGTTAGAAAATATAACGTAACTGCTTCAGTTAATATTAAGCCACGATATGTGAGAAAAAGTAATATCACAAATGCCGACCGAAGAGCATTAAGAAGAATAATCGTGAAAAACAGGCGTGCCAATTATTTACAATTAAGTGCTCTGTGGAGTGATGCTGTTGGAAGGAGAATTTCGAGGTACACAACTCATAGAGAGGCCCACAAACTAGGATTTAGCACTTGCAAGGTAAGTTTTCTCATAAAAAAAAGTGAAGTAAAAACCCAAAAGTTGCACAACTTGTTTATAGGCCAAAGAAAAGCCACTATTAACTCCACTGTAAAAGAAAAAGCGGTTTAGATGGGCTAAAGAGCATAGACAATGGACACCTGGACAATGGTGTGCAATATGGAGGGATGAGGCCCGATTCGAGGTTTGTGTTGGTGACAGACGCAGTAGAGTTATTCGCAAAAAAATGAAGCATTCCATGTTGACTGTCTGAAGAGAAAAGTGAAATTTCCAGCAACCATTATGGTCTGGGCAGTATGTCATCAAAAGGAGTAGGAAAACTTCATTTTGTTGATGGAAATGTGGATACAAACAAATATTTGGCAATTTTAGAAGAATCGCTTTTACAACATGCAGTAATGGAAGAATATTTGACATCCGGCCAAGATTTTGTGTTTCAGCAAGATGGTGCAGCGTGCCATACCTCAAAAAAGGCTATAAAATGAATGGAAGAAAATAATGTACCACTTTTGAAATGGGTTTCTAGCAGTCCAGATCTGTCTCCTATTGAAATTTTGTGGCACGAGATGAAAAAGGTTCTACGACAACATCCTGCTCGTACAATCACCGAACTGAGACAAAAGCTTCAAGAAATATGGAATTATTTTACACCAAATGTTTGCCAAAACTTGGGTAATACTATACCCCAAAGAATTTCAGCCGTAATAAAAAATAAAGGTGATGTTATCCAATGGTAATCTTTCAATTGTTGCTTTGTTAACTTCGCGCATTTATTCGCATATTGTTTATTTGTTCAGATGTTCTATTAGTATAGGTCTAAGTGATTTCAAATATGTATTTTTTACGACTAGAGTGTATCTAAAATGTTTTTGAGAAAATAAATTGTTTTAGAAGTAAATAGTTTCGTCATGTTTAGTTTATAAAGGCATATTTTGGTACAACTCTTGTAGTGGGCCAAATGAAGTGGGAAGGGGCTCGTAGATTTCTACGCCTCTGATAAGACTGAATAAGGACAAAATATGAATATTCTCCATATAACGTTGTAGTGATATATAATTACTCTGTTAATACAATACATGTAACTTCCAATGTCAAACTTCACTAGCTTTAGCGTATTTTAAGTAGGTCGATGTTTTTTGTACGGTTTTTTCAAACGACTTTTCTCCAAAAGCAATAGTGCGACAAAAATATAACAGTTGCTTCGAAAAAGTAAGGAAGTCTCTTTCCATGGTATAATCTCAGGCACGAGATTTTTTTTTTATTTCTCGGTAAGGGGTAATCCTGGGCCTCATGTTTATATGAAGATTTCTTAATCTACTTCATTCGCTATCGAAATTGTCACAGTTTTCTGAATCACCCTGTATATGGTATTGTCACAGATGCCATAATATACAGGTGTGACAGTAACTGTCGGGCCCTGTCATTTTGGTGCCACCAACTACCATAGGCGCCCGCAGGAATTGTTAGAGGAGGGCCAGTACAAGCATACGAGTGTGGTCCCGAAATCCATTGAAAAGTAAACAAAAATGGCGTCAATTAGGTTGTCTCTTCCTACGTAACGATGTCAACAGTTCATTCATAAAGGATTCAGTTGAGCGTAATTTACTGAACTCTCTCGAGTGAAATTACACCTTTTTGTGATCTCACTATAAAGCTTTTGATCCTGTGGATCACACGCTCCTAATCCACAAACTTGAATACTATAATTTTACCGATATTGCTATTTCCCTCTTTATATATACAGGGTGACTTCGAAGTTGAGTCATTTATTTTAACAGTGTGTAGATCTGGTCAAAAGGAATGTTTTTTCCTTTACCATTTTTCTGGTAAAATTAAAGTAACAAAGTTATAGCCCTTTGGAAGTTTGAGTACCGCCCTGTCTCAATAATATCATGTGTTCGTGTTTGGCAACAACGGTTCATCGCATCGGAAACAAAAAAGCGAAAGAATTTGGAACGATGTTTTTACGATTACAATTCAGTTCAGTTATACATACAGTCAGTTTCAGTCGCGTGTGAATAGTGTCTGTTGCGTGGCTCAAACGAAATAAAAAATGGCACATGTTTATGCGGATCGGTTTCCCAATCGAGTGCAACCAACCCCTCGTGCCTTTGTTAATGTAGTACAACGGGCTCGTGAATCAGGTGACTTAAGACCTCACAGGGGACCTCACGATCAAATACAGGTCCGCACTGAAATACTTGTCGGGAGGATACTTTATAAAACAAGGTAAAATTTTTTTTTAATTTTTTTTTTATTTTTACACACATATTTTGGTTTATCTTCCTTCTACAATCATTATCTGAAAATTAATGACTCAACTTCAAAGTCACCCTGTATATATATATATATATTTGGCAAAGAGAACCCAGGTAGTCACGGTGAGAGAAGTGCTGTCTCAAGTAAGGGAGTTGTCATATTATTCCCGCTGTAAATTAACGACTTGCTTTTGGCAAGCATGGATGCTACTTTCACCCTTTTCGCGGATGACACCACTCTCTCCCTTACTGTCGACTCTCTTGTTGAAGCAATACTGGGAATGGAAGCCGTGCAGTCGGATATCAAGGCATGGTCCGATGCAAGTGGACTTTTGCTAAATCAAAGCAAAATCCAACAGATGGTGTTCTCAGTGCAAGAGCTAGGTGATTCAAATATGAATACATTATCGACAAAATTCCTGGGGTGCATGCCGACCCACATCTTAAATGGGGTGTCCACCTTACCCATGTGGTGAAAAAACTCGGGTCTGCACTGTACATTTGTGTTGAAAACAGCTTATTGTGCATTATTTCATTCGTGTCTTTGGCCTTCAGAAGAAGGCCATCCGGATAATTAAGGTTTTCGATTTTAGAGCTGATTGTAGTCAGGCTTTTAGAGACCTAAGGATTTCAACATTACTCTCCGAATACATATTAAAGGACAACCCTATGATGTTCAGAATGCATAGTGATGTTCACCAATACAATATAAGGTTCAAGAGTAATCTAGTGTCAGTGTACTTCTGGCTCTCAAGGCATCAGAAGTCTCCAGAGTACCAGGGCATAACATTTTTTAATTATCCGCCGAAAAACATCAGAGACATGCCTGTCAACAAATATAAAGAAATTGCGAAAAGCATGTTAATGTCTGGTGCTTTCTATAGTACGAATCTATTTTTCCAGTATATACATATTTTGAAACTTTTTCTTTGTTGTTTGAAGTCTATGTCTCTGCGGTTTTTTGCATTATATTTTAAGACAGATTTGACTTTTGTATCCTTAACCTGTGCAAGTACATATGTCTATTGGCATCAATAAATATGAATTTGAATTGAATCGCCTGAGAAAAAAGTCAGTAACGAACATGTACAACAGAGAAAATAAATGGAATATGTCAGTTAGACTGGCCCATGCAATTAGTCCATAGGCATTCTTTCCCCGCCCCACAGGTAGTTACTGTCCATCTGGCAACGTTGTACCTTTCCACATCTGCTCGGCAGTGTCAAGCGCAGTACCGCTGCATCGAGTTATCATTCATTAGGTGCATGATCCCTATGCACAGTGACATCTATATACCACTGACGTCGTAATGTGTATGACAGAGAACCGTGCAATACGTGTGCTAGAAAGAGATAGAAGCACCTCGTTGCCTAGCAATCCAACTGACGATGCCACGGCCGCAGCAGCCGCTTGCCGTGTTGCCATCGGCGCACCCTTTCTGACATATATACTGCACGCTTCTCTCTTGTACATATTACAACGTCAGCCAAATTGGAACCGTATGTTTCTTGCGCTATTATAGTAGTATAGTAGTAGATAGATCAGCCTGCTGGAACGGTTTCCGGGGCGGTGAGCTTAGATATCAGGACGGCGTGGACCGAAAACCTTTCCCAATCAAATGTACGTGGAATATACATGTGAAATATGGCCAAAAAGGTGCATAGGATTACCGGGGTTGGTAGACTAAATAAGTTCAAGAAATCTTCAGATAAATTTCAAAACCTGAGCGGAACTTCTCAAGTTATCGACTGTCCAAGGATTAGCGAACAGACAGATAGACCAATGGAGACGAGCGACATCGTTTTTCGTGATGTACATGTGATTTTTGAAAACCGGTCTAGCGACGGCGGAGCTCCAACGAAAAAAAAAACACACAAATCCTGATCATTTTCAAGAAAATAGTTTGCATTGCTTAAAAATTGGATGTTGGGGGTGAAGGGAGTACATGCTAACCTTTTGGCGCTAGCAATTTACACTTCTCCAACTCCTGTTATTGTGCGTACCTCATACATCATAGGTTTCCTCCGCACATTTGCCTTTAAAGCTTGAATGATATATATATTTTCGTTATAGGTACGTGTGCCGAGCCATTCAACTAGCGTACGTCTGCCTGCGTATGCAACCTTGTGCTGGGCTTGCACGTTGGTGGGTGATCGGTACTGTTCGTAGGGCGGTAGGCTAGGTCGCAATGCTGTCAAGTCTATGCTGACTATGTACAAACTGCAAGAGCCTGTTTGACTGACATGATCCATATAATCCCTTTGTTGTACAGGCTCGTAGCCAACTTTCAATCAATTTGATGACAGAATTCCGTAAGATGTGCAGAGTCAACCTACACAATGCCATTTTGTATAGCTTCATATACTTTTTTAAATTACTTTTAGAATGACAGTGACGGAAGTCCTACCGAACGTACCCGATTTTTAACAGGTTTTCGTCTCTGCGGCCTTGCAACTAGTGCATGACGTCGGTGTGTATGTCGGTCAGACCGTTTTGTATCATATTATAGGAGATTCATTTACGCCGGATCACTATTTCATCTTTTTAGTATACGTATATAACAATCATGCCAGTTTTTCATGTGAAAAATGCCATGGAGCCCTGGTGGCCCACGGGCTTGCGCATATGTGTGCAAATATTTATTTTTAAAGCTCTGTAATTTCCATATAAATTTAAATCTGTTAAAAACGCAATCTCGGATGGTAATATTTCAATGGAATGCGTGCCGCTGTGCAAACAGCAAAGTGCGTCGTTCTATTCCGATCAGGATTTTTATTATCTGTGTAACGCAATTTTGTCCGTATTGGGCAGCTTCCAAATTAAATAACTGCCAAGCTGGGATATTGTGTATTTTGTATGATTATTCGAAATGGACAGGTCATGGAAGGTGGAATAGTCGGTAGTAGTAGATCTGGGGATGGTAAACCTGACAAGATCATCTTTGTTTTTTTTTGACGACTTGCAGGGTCAATATTTAAAACCCTTAAAAAACTTGAAAAACCCACAAAATGTCATCCTGCAAACTTTTTAATGTACAAAGAATTCATTTCTCATTTGCTCGCTATGATCGCTGTGAGCGCCATGGAAAGTGTCCATCTATGGAGCAATGATCCAACGTCACGACATGCATTGTTGGTTGCGTGTTGGTAGCAGAAAACCGAGTAGTCTGTATTGTTTATCTCTGAGATAATGCGGAAGAAAGAAAGTTGGTTGAGTAGCAAGATAGGATGATTGTGTATGTGTATAAAATCAGTGATATTTGCTATGTGAGAAAATTGTTACTGAATATGCGGCCCATGAAATATATCTATTAGCTGCGCCAGATGGGTTACTTCTGTTGTCCTTTCTGAAGAGAGGTTATGTTCTAAGTTATACATTCCGATTTTTCCCGTTTTTTCTTGCGTTTTCAACAACTTTGAGATGCAATACAGGCAATCAGCACCACACATGCGTCTAATTAAGCCACATCATAGAGAAATTAGGAATGACGCATCACATACAAAACATTTTAGCGCGAATTTTTCTTCTCCTCGCTTCTCACTACGCTAGTATCGGGATCCTTGAATACAACTAGGCTGCGTCTACTTTTATCGATCTGAATGTGCAATAAAGTACGAAATATTCAGCAAAAAATCCAGTTTTTTAAAATAGAATGATTTATATTTTATTACACATACGATAGACCCTTCCAAGAGAAGAATACTAATGTTTCATACTATAGCGTTTTGATGAATTTTTTTTTATAACCGGCTCAATGTAAAAAAACGCTCAACTTTGGCAGCCGGGCCGCTTGCATCTGTCAAAGGTGGTGATTTTTTTTCGAGAAGAGTTATAAGATACTCATAAGGAGCTTTAAAGTAAAAAATATTCCAAAATGACGTTTCAGTCGCTGTCTTGAAATTTTCAACTCCTATTTTCACGAATAAAATATATTATTCATGCATCAATTTCATTACTCCGAATTTCAGCTTGCTGATTTTATCTCTTCAAAAGATAAGTAGGGCGGGGGCTTCTTGAAAATCACCATATAAATATTTTTAAGTCCCATATAACCTAATTTTCAGTTTTTTGTTATCTTCCAAACCCTGCTTATGTATTCTCTTTTCCTTTAACCTCTGCACCGTGCCCTTATCCTTCTAACTCTAATGCATTTATCCGCTACTTAGAGTGTTTACCTTTCCTTTTCTGTTTACTCTCAAAACATTCTCGCTTATCTTCCCGATATTCCCAGCTGCCATAAAGTATCATAAAAAGAAGCTGAACGGACGGCAAAGTCGTTCGACCGCTGCAAGCTACGGAAACAAGCCACTGACCGCAAGCTGCTGGCAGAATTTCTCCTTTATCGACAGATTGTAGCAAAACAATCAGAAACAGCAGGCCAAGCGAAATGTCCCAAGAATATACGGAATACAGGGTGTGGTGTACATAATATGTGACGATAGAGGCATAGAAGTTAGAATGGAATGTAGGAACAACTTTCATTTCAATTCAAAAGAGTTTATTCCGTCCACCCTGAAGATGGTATAGAACAAGAAAATTGTAATAAAACATATACAAGAAAATTTAGACAATACACATCATAAAATAAACACATGTACAGATAAAAAATGCCAGCTTAACTTTAATTTTTTCTTTTCTTCGTGCAGTGCTAATGAAAGTTGTTTACAAACATTGATAGACGTATTAAATACAGCCAAGCTAATGCTATATACCAAAAAATTATCCTCCATGAAATGAGATACTAGCGCGTCATCTATGGGAATTTGTCGCTTTTTTCTATAATTATATACTTTGAAAATGTCAGTCTCATAGATGGTACAGTTTATAGGAACGTAGACGACGTTATAGTCACCTATATGTACTTTTATGTTCCTGTATGATACACTAACATGTTCAAAGTATATATAGTGAATATAGAAATAGCTGTGACAAATTCTCATAAATGATGCTACTCATTTCATCTCGTATACTTTTTGGACGCGCGAATAAAGCATCAAGTTGGCTATCCTCATATAAATACGTTAATCATTGCTACCACTAATCCAAATTCATCTCTGTTTGCTGCTTATCTACGTATGTCCAGCCCAGTCTAATAACTGAAAGCAAGCGTATTTATCTCTGCATAAAATTTTGGAAACAAGAGGGTGAATCGTCAAATATTAACCGCATTTTACCTTTCACAAATCTGTTAATAAAACAATACTATTGGTTATAGAACTCCATGCTTGTCTGGCCGCCAAGTGGAACCACATATGTTTGAATTACTTTTTACTGACGTTTCGGCCACTACCGTGGCCTTATTTAAAGTACAAATGGCAATGACAATATATTTTATGATGAATTTTAGATGGAGTTATGATCTTTGGTATCATATTGTTGGCTAT